GGTTTGTACAATTGGAAAAAAGACAAACACCACTCCCATCTTGAAGAAGAGCAAGAAGGAATATCTGGAAAACTACCAGCTATACCCCAGCCCCCAGGAAATTTACAAAGCAAGCTATCCTGGAAGCTGTTTCCAGGCACATAAAGGACAAGGGGATACTGGAAACAGCTAATAAGGATGTTCCAGATAATGGCTGATGAACCTGATTGCCAGACCTGTAGACAAGCTGGCAGAAATGGATGTTGTAAGTTGTGGCTATGGGCAAAGTTTTGAAATGATCTGCTGTAGAATCGTCACAGACACATCGGTGGAATGTAGGCTGCACTCTCAGCAGATTAGTGGATGATACTGAATTGTAGGAGTAGGCTGCTATTCACAGGGACCTTCACAGCATGGAGAAGTAGGCTGCCAAGAACATCATGAAGTTCAGAACAGCAAATGCAAAGTCCTGTATTTGGACTGGAACAGCGCCCTGCAGCAGTACAGGCTGAGTCTGAGTAGCCAGAAAGCCTATTTGCAAAAAAAGTCCAGGGGTGCTGGTGGACAAGTAACAAACAGGTCAGCAATGCCTCTGTGCAGTAAAAGTGGACAGTCACATGCTGTGCAAGGATGCAAGGGAACTGATACTCACTTTCCATTCAGCGCTGGTGAGACTGCCTCTGGAACCCAGTGTCCAGTTCTGGGCTCCCAAACACAAGGAGGACATTTGCACACCAGGAAAAAGTCCAGTGCAGGGCTGTCAAGGTTGGCAGGATGCCCATGGTGTGTGAGGAAGGAGAGGCTGAAGGAACTCATTGTGCCAAATTCTGAGAACAGCAGGTAAAGGAGAGATTTATTGCTTTCTTGGCTATAGGGGAGGTGTGGGGAAAGCAACTCTTGTAGGAAAGTTTTGGGTTGTGTTTTTAAAATCTACGAAGGCAGTCAAACATGAAGTCTGGTTGCCCTGATGTCCTGCAGACTGGTTTTCCACACAAATTAATCAGATTCTAACATCAGAACTACAAAGTACAGCAGTACACAGGGCAGAGATCTTGACAGAGTACTACTGTGAATTATTTTGTCACTAGCATAGCAGAGCACCACGTTAACACAACAAGGAATTATCTAGAAGAATATTAATCTCCTGAATACAGAAGGACATCAGTGATCATCAAATGCAATTTGTCTAGACTAGAGTACTGTGATAATTAGGATTATAATCAATGAAATATTCACTCAGCCAGGTGCAAAGAAGTTATACATAACATTTCCTTTGTTAATTCATTGACACAAAATCTAAGATTTATTTATCTGTGCATTGGTTTTCTTTGCTAAGGAAAGACAGGAACACTGAAACTACCTGTATCAGGGAAGTTTGAGAGTTGTAATCTACAAAATGCATTTCCTAGTTAGAAATTGACACAAAACATCAAACAGCAAACCTTGTTGAGACATGCAAGCATTTGATCACGAAGCTAGGACTGACTTGCAGAACTCCTTGCATCTTCTGGCTGCCCCAGTTCTAATCAATGGAAGTACATTCTTCCATATTGACTACTATATGGGACACAATAATTTTTCACCTAAATTTTAGCATAGATGTTAGCAAGATTCATAGGAACTAAGCAGAACGTGCTGGACTGATCTGTTGTGGTCAGAACTGCCTTTAACTTGATGTATTTCTGAACTGGGAAAACAATTTTTAAAGCAGTCCATGCAACGTGTAAACATGTAAACAAAACAGCACAAAAGCAGAGAGAGAAACAGAGAAGCCAGCGTGCAGCAGACTGGATGATCACTCCTGATTTAAGAGGTTTGTAGCTTTCCAATACAGAAGTAATCTCACATTGACAAGCAATGGAAACACTTCTGCTCTCCTAAGAACTTATGAACTAGACTGGTAAAGCTCTCATTCATCACAGAAAAAATATTTAAAAACACCTCTGCTCCTATTTTAAACAATTATCATGATGGCAGTATTAGTTCCAACGTAAGACCAGATCTTCTGGACTCCATCTTCCTATTAAGCATGTGCTATCACCACTCTAACAAATCCATTTTTTTCCACTGCTGGCAGTACAGTGAAGTCAACAATTTTGGCTTTCTATGCATTTCACCAGGCAACTATCAGGCTGACGAAATCCCTTTCTGTTCCACCTCAAAGCAAGGCCTCAAAGAAGATTCTGCAAGCAACAGAGGATCCTCTGTGTCTCTGCACAGCTTCTTGTACCATCCCATCTGATGGCCTCCTCTAGGGACTCAGCTCTTCTGATGCTTGTTAATGGCCATCAATGCAGACATCAGAAGTGAATCATTGGACAGTCACTTACTCATGTACAGACACTGAGCAATGGTGGAAACTGCTGTAGAAAACTGCAGTCAACCCTTCTTAGGGCAGTTTTACAAGAATTTCAAGAATTTCTAACAGGTCAGACCAAAAAAGAACATTATGCATTTGAAACAAACAAAGCTGATAGAACACTTAATTCTTGTTACTTTTGCTTTCTCTACACCAATCACAGGTAAGAAAAAAAAAAAAAAAAAAAAAAAAAGAAAGAAAAAGAAAAAAAAAGACAAAACCCTGTTATCTAAATAATATTGACCATTAAATTCTGGACTATTTTTTTTTTTTTAAAAAAAAGGTAATTAAAAAGCATCTGTTTCAAATGAAAAATCCTGAAATGAAAAGTCTAGAATTTGCTTTCAACACTTGCAAAACTAAGTGAATCAGTTGGTCCTAAATCACTGCTAATATACAGAAGTGTTTAAACACCTGGAATATTTACACAAAGGCCCACACATAACAAAGTTCAAGACTCACAAAACAAAACCATTTTGTAAAGCAGTTATCAGTTCTTGTCCTTCTGCAGTAATATCCATGGATGCTTCTTAAGTTCAACTAAAATAAATACATTTGAGGCATTGGACATCTTCACAAGGATGCAAAAGACAAAGCTACACCGAAAGCCCTAAGATGCAAATGAAAGCTCAGATCACATTAAGAGTTTACATGAGAAGTGGTGAGACAGACACAAAACCCTCATTTCTGTTTTAGAGTCGTAAAGCTAAGTGACTAGTTAACAGCACAAGCTTTCCAAATTTATCAACGTAATTCAATTCTCTTTATTTCTCTTTTCTGTTTTTGTTTGCTCAGGCTGTTTTTTGGAGGAGACAAATACAGATCGCACATACGAACCACAAGGAACAGGGATGGGGAAAGGAGAGAGATTGAGAAAGAGAGACAGAAGAGTGAAAAAGTGAAAACCCTTCTGGGGTGTTCTTTTTTTTTTTTTTTTTTTTTTAAAGAGGAGGAGGTGAGCAGACTTGATGAACAGACCAGTGAAACCACGTAGCTTGGGATTAAAGAACGGTGCCCGTCCCAGTGCACAACTCACATTCAGAAGGTGCATTCCTTGCAAACAGTCCCAAAGTACGTACTTCAGAAATCACAAAGAAGCCATAATACGACTTTAGACATTAATGCCGTTTAAAAGTGGAAAAAATACAGCAAACGCTCCTGAGCAACCAATAGAAGGTTATCAGGAAAATCAAATGAATAAACACTAGCTGTAGTAAATCAGCTGGTCATTCTTTCTCACCTTGCGTTTTATTTGTAACAGTTCAAGCACAAGTCAGTAGCTGCCCTCCATTCCTGCACAGCCTCAGGGATGCAGACTGTTCAGTTGTAAATGCTCACCCGAATCAACACCATAATGTCATTTATTAGGAGTTTACACAATAGCATCAGCTTCAGTAAAACACCTAAAAAATTAGCAAGTCGATTTAAAGGGAAAAACGACTCCCCATTAAATCCTATTCAGACCTGCTACTTCTCACCAGGCCAAAGCATACATACATCTACTCCCGGGCAGGCTTTCTCTTTGTAATGTTAAAAGAACGATTTAAAAGGATTGCGGGTGAAAAATGTGGATGACATTTAAATATTGTTGAGAGGGGGATGGGGCTCATTTGGTGTTATCGAAGCGTCTTCAGTTTACAGTTGCATTGCTGTAAATAAGAAACAGAAGAATACTGCCTGCTGCACTACAAAGACTGGGACAAAAAGACAGCATGAAGCTTTCTCCTGGAGAGCAGGCTACAAAATCTGAGGAAACACCATACGGTGCTCTGTGGTGTATGGAATTCATTAATTTTTGTTCTGAGCAAAAGGGCTATTTCAGAGTATTCCAATACCTTTCATACCCCTCCATATCTTGTCCACCTCATCTACAGGTGGAGGGTAGTATGTCTGCCCTTTCCATTATTTGCAGCATATACCCTGTTAAGATTCAACAGATGTTTTTAACCCTTCTGCAGTCTGTGTGCTTGTGTGCGTGTGTGTATCAGTCTAACATTAAATCCAACTTTATTTCTAGATATTTATGCATATATATATGTGAGAACAGTAATGGAGAAAGCAGAAGAGTAGAATTTGCACCATACACTCATAAAAGTATATTTTCCAGTATTACTCGTGGAAATGTGTTTGTAAACTAGCAAGGGGAAGTTTGCTGTAGAGTTTACTTTCACATTGGGCTTCTAACATCCATATTTCCTCTCTAGTAATTGTGCTGTAATTAATTCCCATCGCCAGATTAACAATGGCAAAGTTAATTAAGTTAATTTAACTGGGAAAATTGCTGAATCAAACACAGAAAAGCAAAAGCACAGCTCTGCAACTGCAAGCTCTCTATAAAGAAAGCAGATGAAAATAACTCTATTTTTACACTAGGCAGAGCATCAGGAAATATAACCTAATCTTTAATCAACAATACTTACAGCCAGATCTGCTGAAAAGATGAAAGAAATTTTAGTAAGATTCACAAGGGCCACATACTTAAATCACAAGGTTGTGTCTCCCCTTAATCAGGAGCAAAAAATGAAGATATAATACCGCATAACAAATAATTAAAAAGAAGCATAACTATGTTCATTCTCAAAAGTTTTTAAGAACAATGAAATAATCTTCTGATCTGAAATATTCACAATTTGCTTTTCATTTATGTATAAAAAAAAGGTACCTTGTAGAGACCAAAGAAGCCTAAGTCCCGTAGTACAGTGAGGGCACTAACACGAGGGCCAGTAGTAATTTCTCCAGCCACCTGTAGTCGAATCTTGACAATTTCTAGTGGATTGGTGAAGATCACTTGAGAACCTCCAGCCTGAAATTAAAAGTAGAAGGCAGTATGTTAACTCGTTAAATTATTTGCAACATATGTCCTGTTACATATAAGAGAATATGTTTTTAATCTTGCTGCTGTCAGTTCAGCCATTAGCAGATGTGAATTTTAATATTAGTTAATAAGCTGCAGCTCACAAGGCAAGAAATCTACCCCACGTGAGATGAATGGTCAGGAAACAGAAAGGAAGCAGGTCAGCCACTGCAGGACACTGCGGTACATCAAACACACTGCCTCAATTCCTGCTGCAAGAATGTATTCACCAACATCAATTCACACAATACTGACAAGCCAAAAACATCATAAAGCAAGTAATAGAGGAAAAGAGTAACCAAGCAAAGAAACTGAAGATCATGCTGGTACTTTGTGAAAATATACTACTGAGGAGTAGAAGTCTGGCAGAAGCTTTTTCAGTTTTGGCACAAGTTCACAAAACATGGATTCCAGAAACCAGAACTGCAGATATCTTTTCCTCTTCTAAAATCCCACTGAAATACTAGCTTCAGAGTCACTAAATGCTGTTTGATTCAAGAATCTGAGCTCCACATCATTACTTGTGCACCAAGTAACAAAGGTCTAAAGCCTGAAGGATTCCATTCATCAAGAACTGCTTAATGTTTAAAAAGTGTCGGTCTGTATTTGTTGGTAAGGTACCACTGAACTCATCTTGTAAGCTAGTCAGATTTAAAACACAGTGGTAGCAAGCATTTTAGACTGCACCAGTTCTACTGAAATTCATCACAACAGGTGACACGAGGCATTACCATTTTGGTACACCAACAGATCCCAAGCTTAAATTTGAAATGAGAAAAAAATGTTACGTGACACAACCTAAGTGAATTTAGAAATACTCATTTGAGCTCCATTTGGCCAAAATTCAACAGTGTCATTCTAACTTCTTTTAATTTCTTAATTACACAGCCCAGCAGCTATGCTCTTTTCTAGGCTCTGAAACGACAGACTATGCAAAGGACAACCATCCCCACAACAAAACAGTTTTTTTTTCTAGAAGGCAATGACTAAAATAAATTGTATTTAAAAGCACTTCCATCTAGCCATGTCTAGTATGTAAACAGTATGTGCACATCTTTTTTAAATTATCCAAATGTTAAAAGAATTAATCATAGCTCAGATCAGCTATCATTCAAAATAAAAAATAGGCACAGTAATATGGTTTAAATAATGTGCTGAAGAAATGGCAAATCGCACGAACAACTATTCTTGTCTACCACTTAGACTGAGCGTACACAGTGTGGTTACAAATTAAAGTCTTTACATAACCCCCCAAATATCCCAAATGTTTCCTATTTTGACCAGAAAAAGCATGCTCTTGTGTAACTCAACTGGTTTTGACTTTCAAATTGGCATAATTTAATTTAACTGCATTTACCAAACCAGAATCCTGGTACATATAAAATTGCTGTTCCTATTGCCATCAGAAATTAGGATGATAAATTATTTGGCACGTATTCTGATTTCAGATTTGCACTTAAAACATATTAAGTTAGCACACACACATACACAAAAAAAGAAAAAAAGGAAAAAAAAAGACATTCTCTTTTACTTGTATACTCATCTAGCAAAGTCTCAAAATCAAAGCAAATATTGGATGGGTCTTTCTGATGAATTGTAAATTCCTATGTGATAAACAGTTTGGTTTATTATTACAAACATTAAGTGTTCCCACACTGCCATCACACATTTTTCATTCTTAAAATGATAAAATCCCAACTGCAAGGTGCTAATATTCATTTGCAAGTTTGCTACACCACAGTCATCCTCTAAAGTACATTAATTTAAAAACTCATATCAACTGGATCTATGTTAGCACAAATAAACTACTTTCTCTCAGTGTGATATTCTTGCATTACATTGTACCATGACTCCATGGGAAGTGTTTCTTTAATTTTCACTACAGGAAAACCATATCAATACTCAAAAGATGACAACAAAATTAAGTTTAATTGATGATTATTAATGTACCAAAACATTGAGTAATTTAAAAATCTATAAAATGTTTATAAGTGAATGCCATATTTAGAGAAAGGAAACAGAAACAGACCTGTTTTTAATAGAGAATAAAGGCAAATAATTTCTGAATTCTAACGAGTGGGAAGTGTTTAAAGTGCTAGCACATACAAATGTTTATGTTTGCACGTCCAGCCTGGCTGTGGCAATACTTGGGAATGTTACATGTTTGTGGCTCTGGGTAAATCACACAAGACTCCCTCTGTTTCAGCTTGCTATTTGAAAAATGGGGATGCTATTACTTAACCCACCTCATACAATCAGGCTCGCTGTATTCAAATTTTTAAAGCACTGAGACATGTATGCACCAGGCATTACCAAAAACACTAAAACAGCTGATGTGAATACTACTGGCTTTGTTGCCCAAGCAGTTCCTCTAACAAAAGACATTGGAAATTTTCATTGAAGTTCTTCTGCAAAACCATTTAGGCACTACTCCAGAACTCTCTGCACAACCTTTGTCATCCTCTGAACTTGATGGAAGATACACACTAAACACCAAATGATAAGTAATTGAAGGTGATAAGCCAGACAATACCTGACAGAAGGTCTTGGTAGGACCTATTGTAGTAGGTCTCAGTAGTATCCCACCACCTGCCTACCCTGCGATGGAGACGAAGGATGGTTTGATATCAGCCAGTGCACAGGCACTTCCAGTGGTAACAAGTACAGTCACCTCGTGGGGAGCCTTTATCACCCTGTTATTTAATCATCCGTGCTGGCAACTGCAGCTCCCTATTCTCAAAAGGGAAGGGAAGCAAACTGGAGATGGCTACTATATTGTCTAATGAAATGATTTCTTGCTTGTCTAGTACCGGTAACTCCTATTGCGTTATTCATCATCACAGTATGCAAGTGTCTCATAAATATTAATGGCTATTTCCTCCCAGTGCTCCTGTAAGGGAAGCACAATGGCTCTAGTTTTACAAGAAGGGGATTTGAGGTAAGGAGGTTAATTGTATGCCCTTGTGTGTGTGTGTCCCAAGCTCAAACAAGCAACTAGTAACAGTCTCCAGACATCCTGATCTCGAAATCAGTAGCTTGAATCACAATAGCATTGTTTCTGTCTTCTGAGTTTTTACATCTTGAATGTAATGAAAGAAATCTCATTTATTTATTTATTTTCTCTCTTCAAGGTGCTGGTATAAACTGTTGTGGAAAAGACACACAAAACATGATCAGTGTTATCAGCCTGCTCATTTTAGCAAAAAGTTGAAGAACATTAACTTCTTGTTTGGCACCTTTCACAGTTAAAAGTGCACCTCATTTAAAAATTATTTTAAAATATGTTCCCAAAGGTAAGAACTTGGAAACTATTTTCTTGGCCAGAATAAACACAGTTTAAGCTCAGGTTGCTCAAACCTAATGAATTCTCCATTAAGTGTCATAAAAATCATGACGGGATAACTTTTATAAACTCTTGAGTATAGTTACCAGTAACATCATTTTTTTTTTTACACTGAATACCCTCAACTCTGAATTTTTTTTTATCTCCTCTTCCAATCATATTTTTTTTTTAAATAAACAAATGATCTGATTGGAAAAGCACATTTATTACTTTCCAGTTAGTATCGTGTGATTAAATAAAAATGGGAATGTTGGCTCATTTATAGGAGTGAATACCAAGAGCTAGTGCATAATTATCTGAAAGGTCCCAGAAAGGGCTCATATTATTCTAAAAGTATTTAACATTTGATCTAATCACAAGCACTTACGGTCTTGTATGATATAAAGCAAGAAAATCAAAGAGGAATACCTGCACCATCCATGAACACATGTGCTAGATATGCACATGTGAATTTATTTTTTTTTTTTCCCCCCACTTTTGCTGTTCTTCAACTCTGCACTTGGTATATCACCCAGCACCTCTCGATGGCGGTATAGCCTTGTACAGTAATACAGTAATGCCTATCACATTCCTCCCTCTATTTTCCTATTTTATAGAACAGCAGGGAGAAGCAGAAATAGTTGTGGTATTTTTTTTCTGTCGATGGAGAAATACAATCCATTCTGTAAAAAAAAAAAAATATTTAATAACAGCAGCTAGCTTAACACTACTCCAGTTTAAGAAGTTGGAATGTTTTCTATTTCTTCACATATTCAAATAATCTTGTAATAAACTTTACTGGCAAATAAACAGATTTTCACTTCCTTCATTACACTAAGGCAAGGAATCCTTGTTCTTTTTCATCTAAGTGCATTCTGTGCCCTTATGAGACTAGATAAGAAATGAATACACCAGACCTAACTCTCCAAAGGCTTTCAAATCTGCATTTGAAAGCCTCAGTGTACATTCTGAAAAGAATACAGCCTGTAATTCACAAATAAAATTCTGTATTTTCCATCCCAAAAGAAAGTATTAGGTTGTGATTCTTCTCTTTTCATCACTATTGATCATCAGCTCTTCCAGCAACTCTAATTAACCTTATTTACTAGCTGCAAGCCATTAGGTTTTTCCTGTTTTCAGCTAAGAGCGTTTAGGGTTATCCTAGATTTTCTGTACCTAACTTGTCACATATCATCTTCAAAGCTTATAGATAAATAAAAGGATTACTACTGCTATTAGAGTGTTAATATTTCCAACAATATCACCCAGGGACAGCAATTATAGCAATTAATGGCAACCATTAAAATACATAAGCACAGTATTATACAATTATCCAGAGTCAGCGTCTGCAAAAGAAATTGCCTGCAATGCTTTGCTTACTCATTTGATTTACAAAACAACCACGTGGGTAAGATCCAAAATTTGTAGTCAACTACATACCATATTCAGTCATATGGGCTACTGCACTCAGTCCCAGGATATTACTCCTTGCCACTTTTTCCCTGTGCATTTGCTAGTGTATACTAATCCTAATTTAAGCCAAAGCTCTGAAAGTACTAAGCATTGTACAAATATCAAGTTTGGTTTTTTTTAAGTAAATAATATAAATTTAAAATGTACTAAAAAG